GCATCGTGGAGTTCTCACGGGAGGAGAGGCACACATCTGTCCTCATCCCCGCTCCAAAGGCACAGCGCTGACTCTCTCCCACATAGTTTAAGCCTCATGCCAATTATACAGCAATTGGGTCTGTAGTGATGTCTATTTTGACGCTTTTTTTAATTCAAAGAAACATATCACTGTAGATGTGAGGCTAAGACAGCCAGCCCTCCATTCTGAAAACAAATGCATGTTCTGGAAGTTGTTAACAGTCTGTGTTTGTGTTGATGTAAAACTATAAAAGCTTTCTTTTCTTTTCTGGCCATCTCTAAACCAAGATCTTCTCTGAAGTGCTCATCTAGGAGCAGAAGCACCGACTCGGTATTGCTGGGTAAGTGAGGACCACGTGGCACCTCTTGGGTTTCATGTTGTTTAGGTTCATTAAATTTCTTTGGGCTCAATGCTGAGATTTCAATGGGAAGTTTCTCTTTCCCATCCTAAAATGCTGCAGAGAGTAATTAGTCAAGAAATTTTCAGGTCTTGGGACAAGTGGAGACCAGAAGATGGCTTGTCTTTCTACTCTAGGTTCTCAGTTTTTCCTCCTGATGAATTACTTTACTTCCAAGAAGGCTTTTGGTGGATCCTGATGATTCATACCACAGTGAGGTACAGTGTTCTGATTTGATTTGGAAGGATATAATAGATGACCTATTTCAGATAAATGCATAGAAAGAAGCTGACTTGGTACATAAAAGCTACTCGGGAATGCTTATTAAATTGTTTAATCTTGTTAGTGACAAGTGTTTCCTATGAATCATTTTCTCTCTGATGGCAATGTATTCCTGAGCTAGTCAAGTCAAAGATCAAATCCACCTGCTCTGGCTCCCGCCTTCAAATCCACTTTGAAGGGAATTGGCATTCTCAGATATCTCGACAGGAGAAATCACATCCAAATGTACATACTGCACAGCAGAATTAACTTGGGTTCAGAGCATTATATACATGTCAAGTGGGTGTGGGTCCTGCCACCTGGCACTGAGACAAAACCCTCATTGAATCTTTTTTCTCCAGCCTTCCTACCTCTTTCATCATCCTGTAAACTCTAATCTCTTATTAACAATGAGAATGAGAAGAATACAAAACCAAAATGTTATTCCTTTTCCAACAAGAACGGTGCATCACCAGCAGGACCTACAGTGTGGACCTCAGTAACTTCCAGCCTTTTTCCTCTCTCCTCTCTAAGAACTGGTGCTTCCCTTTAATCTAACTGCCAACTTCATCCTCTTCTTGCAGGAGAAAGTTTTCTCTACTCCTTTATGTAATTCGAGCAGGTGGCAGCCCTGACCCAACTCCAGGCACAGCCCCAAATGCACGGCCTCTCCCAGGGTTCTCAGCCACTTCCACCGCCTGGAGCACCTCAGCTTTGGCCCGGACAGGGGCTGTGTGCTCTGTGTCAACACAGCACAGCCAAGTGTGCGTGGCAATCGGTGTGCCCACAGCCCTCTGTGTGCCTTTTCACATCAAAATTTAAACGTATCCAGTGTTGTACTTAGAGTTCTATCTCCCCGACATAAAATGTACATGAATAATATAAGTCAAATAAGACCTAAAATTACGTGACTTTTCTATCAGGATCCATTTATAAATGTCTACCGGAGAAATCTTGCCATAGCTTTCACCATAAACTAGTAATTCTAAGCATACAGCCCTTGAATTTTAGGGTGTGTGACTGCCCCCCTCCATCTGGCCAGAAACTAGAATCCTCCTATTCTGTCTCAGAGGTTCTAGGTAAGTCTGCGGAGAATATCAGGTATGAAGATATCTGCAAGCTCTTAGGTGATAGAGAGGTCTGAGAAACATGGGACTAGATTAAATCCAAGGAAAAATGAGTGAGGACTAAGACTTAGACCCTTCTGTGGAGGGACAACCCCAACAAAACAGTCATTTACTGTTTCTGGGGAAACTTTCCTCAGGATAAACCGTCTCAACAACCGAAAGAACTACCAAACCCACATTCGTTAATCAAATTTCCTCAGTGGATTTTCACTACAGTCTTTAACACTTTGGGGATCTGTGACCAGCAACATCCAGATACTCTCATGAAAGGGGGTACAGCCTTTTGTTTCAGATACGAGCATTTCTGACTGATGTTGGTAACACACTGCCTCCACCTGCCAGGCAGGTTACGGTGCAGGTAGCTGGTGCTCAGACAGGCTATGAATGTGAAGTCAGCTCCCAGTCAGACAGAGCTCAGTTATCCTCAGACATCAGCTGAGCGCTGTGGGCCATCTTTTCACACACTTGTCCGAGGCAGAACGTAGGCAGCCCAGAGAAGATAGTGTTAATGATCCACCCCTGGTGCAGAGCAGTGGGATGATGGCTTCGTTCTGCCCAACAACAGCCAGGGTTAGCTTTGATAGGAGTTTAACAGCAGCCCCCAGCCCTCAGCCCCCTGCTGCCCCTGTGACCAAGGAAGGCACCTTGCAGACGGAGTTTTTGTCCCCCTCGCTGCAGGCACTAGAAGATATTTCCCTCCCTCCCCTCCTCATCTCTTCCCTCCACTACCATCCTTTTCTCAATGTTGCCCCCTTTTGTCTCTTGAACATCTTAGAAAGTTTCTTAAATTCACCGATTCACGTGTATATTCAAAAATAGTATTGCCAAAATATCAAGACACCGTTTTCATTACGATTTCCCAGGAGCTCTGCTACATGGTACCCATAAAACGGGATACAAAAACTAGCACAGCCTCTGTCCATGAGAAAAAGTGAGAAGCACAGATGTGACCACAATAATCCCACACGCAGTGTGAAATATAAGTGAAGAGAATCACAGTGCGTGCTACTGAACAGAGACGGGGCGCTACAAAACATACCAGGTGGGACACGGCCCTGGCAGAGAGGTCAGCAGGGGTGGTGACATGGGAAAAGAGTGGGGAGAAACCAGGGAAAGGAGAGGAAGAAGGAAGAACTTTGCGAAGCTCTCGGGATGGGGATCAGGTGAAGAAGAATCAAGGTAATTCAGAAATTAACAAAGACTCCTGACCAAGAGGAGAGAGCACATGCACTGTGGGTTGACTCGTACCTCCCCAAAAGGGATGTGAAGTCCTGATCCCCAGGGCCTTGGAAGCTGACCATACTTGGAAATAGGGTCTTCACGGGTGGAATTAAACTGAGCCTGTACACGAGTAAAGAGGTCCTTTAACCCAATATGTGCAGTGTCCTGTGGAGGAGCAGAGGCACAGGTAAAGCTGAAGGGAGAGAGGGAATCAGGCTTCACATCCAGGGAGTGTCAGGCACGCTGGGAGAGGCAGGAAGGACCTCTCCTTTAAAGCCTTTGGAGAAGGGCTGATCTCACCACCTTTGAATTCAGATGTCTCACCTCCACAACTGTGAGAGAATAGATTGAAGTTGTTTTAAGCCAGCTGGTTGTTGGAATTTGCTACCGCAGTGGAGGAAACTAGCAAGTGTGAAGTGTGACGGGGCCAAACCAGGCTGGAGAGCAGATCAGGCCTCGAAGCTCTTCTGAAAGCCAAATAGTCTTTTATTGTTTTTGTTTATTTGTTGTTGTTGCTGCTGCTGTTTTTAGCAAAGAGGCAACTGTAACTGGTAGCCTGTGACAGGATCAGATACACTTTTCACACTGGTCACAGGACTTTGTTAGCAAATGCATTGGGGTTATGCAGATGGTAGGAAACCGACCTTCCAGGCCATCGGTTGATATTTCAATACAGCCACCAAATTCGATCGCCAGCTTCTTTCCAACTACCCGAGATCGCTGTTTTCAGTAACACAGCACATCTGGAACAACTGTTCCAGTTCTGCTCCACAGAACACTGCTTCTAAGAAACTCACTTAAGAAAATGGTCAGGATCACAATAAGGTTTGGAAGTCCTAGGTTTCTTGAGAGCTTTCTTTTTACTTGGGAAATCAAAATGTGCTTTAACACATGAAAGTCCTGGGATTCTGGCAATAAAAACAGAATTTAGGCACAGTTCTCAAATGTGTTTGACTATGAAATATACTAGGGCAAACCAAAACCAGAAGTAAGTGGGAATACCTATTAACATTCTAAAGAACTCGCTTTTGAAAATGCAGAAATGTTTTTAAAAGTAATCAATTACCCCCAAAAATATACATTGGTGGTTCAGTGCTAGAATTCTCACCCCTCATTACCTAAAAACAACAGCAGCAGCAACAACATATCTCTTCAAATCCTCACCCAGCATTTGGGACCAGGAAATTCTATTGTCTTGAACTCACAGCGACCCTCCCGCCTCAGCCTCTGGAGTGCTGCGATTACTGGCATGCACCACCACGCCCGGCCTTCATTTTTAATTATAAGAATGGAAGGTCCAGATAACCAAGAGGTGTGTACAGCAGCCACGCCCGGGATAGAGCGCAGGGTTTCCCTTCCAACCAGATTTCTTTTGAAATAACTTCTGGGGCTTTAAGCAAACATTTTAAATTTCTGACATTTAAAGATACGTAAGAGCGCTGAAAAGGAAATCCAGTGACTCCAACTATCTCAACCATGTCTCTCTTCCTTGTGAGTGAAACTAACCAAGTCAGCTTTTAAAATCAGGGAGGGCAAACCTGTGAAGAGTAAATCAATGCCCTATAATGGATGCTTTATGCTCTCGTTCTCCGCGTGCTGTGTTCATGATGTCCCTGAAGTTACCAAGTACATCACGCTCTCTTGACATTTTCAGGTGTTTATTACGCACTCTCCACCTTGTGGAACAGTGTGCAGTAAAGGCAGCGTCTGCTGCGTCCCTGCCGTGGCTCTTCTCCTGTCCTTGCCCCCTGCCTTGCGTCAGTACCTGGGTTACAGGTGGAAAGACTGCCCTTCCCTGCCGGGCACCCCCGGCAGGAAGGTCCAGGTTGGCTCCCCTGCTCTTCTAGCTGCGGCCCTCTTCAGAGCCTCGCTGACGGAAGTCGATTTCAGCTGCGATGTCACTGCTGCTCCTCGGTACCTGTTCCGCAGACTCACTTTTGCCCCGAAGCAGTGGCCTTGCAGACAACGAGAGACAAGTGGAAAGAAGAGGTCCTTCGTGCAGGGGACCCCGCGTGAGCCTGAGCCGGGCACAAGGATGACGTCTCCCCAGGTGAGGACACGGCCCGCACCCCACCAGCCTCTTGACATGAGGCATAGACAGGGAACTCCCGAGAAAGCCTGCAGCCCCCACTTCTGCTTCTAAGGAATTTTAGGGATCATTTGGCACTATACAATGCGATCCTTCTTAGCTAATTCCAGACCCTAATATGTACCCCAGACACATACCCTCCCAAGTATAATTCCTTTGAAACTAAATAGGAATAATAATAATTGTAATTACTATTAAACAGGAATAATAATATATGAATGCTATTATATAATAATAATTCTATAAACAGGAATCATAATAATTAATAATAATATCTCCACCCAGCCCCCACCAGCTTGTTCTACTTTCTCTGTTGTGAGACAGCAGCACATGGATAACCTCCCATCTGGGCTGAACTACAAAAGCACATTTCATTCCCAGTGTTTTCTCATTTCAGAACACAGACGAATCTTGCAGAACACTTTGAGAGCTGCCTTACAATGTTGTTCTCCTGGTAATAAGAAATACCACAAAAAAGTCAATATTATCCTCCAACTCAGGAGACAGCTTGATGTAGACAAACACTGAGAGACAGAAGAGAAAAAGTAGTCTGACATCAGCAGGGCCCTTCCTACCACTGGTGTGCGGGACAGACTTGGACGGGCTTCTCTTCTTTCTCCTCATCCGTAGACCAGGAGCGACGAGATGGACTCAGCACCACTCTGGGAGGAGCAGGAGGCCTGCGGCGCTGTCCTCACTGGGGCCATCAGAGCTCTCAGCAGCACCCACCTCCTTTCTCTTCTCTGCCCCACTGCACTGCGGCAGCTCTGGAGTAGTGTGATCCACTCCTGACCAGAAATCCTGTACCCACTGTGTGTCTGAAGGAAAGCTCTTTGTGAAAGTTTAACTTAAAAGAATCTGTCACCCAAAACTGGTCTAACGTCAAGGGTGGAATAAGACGCCACTGCAGCAGACGGGGGAACAGAATAGACAGCAAATGAATACCGCGGGAGGTCACAGAGGGGCTGCTGCCACAAACAAGAGCTGCTGACAAACTGAAATGTCCGGCTCTGCATGCAGGTCACGTCACTTCCACTGTTACCCACAGACGCAAGGGCCACGGGGGGGCAGGACAAAGCAGAGAGGCCATCGCACGTGCTGGTTAACAGCGAGGGTGTGGAGACAAACAGAATTGCTGCCTGCTCAGGGCTTGGCCCTACCCTCGTGCAGCCCCGAGTGAGCCATTTAACCTCCGTGAGCTGCAGTTTCTCCTCTGTGGACAGGGGTGATACACTAGTCTCTGATTTATGGGTGGCTGTTGTGAGTATAAATATTGTAAAGAACACAGAGTGCTCCGCACAGTATCAGCCAAGCAGCAATTGTTCAATAAATGTTATCAATTATTACTGTTCTTTTCTCCTAGACACCTAAGGTCCAGTGTGATTCACTCCTAATCACAGAGCTCCAACCTTGCGATGCTTCCGAGGCATAGCAGGAGTCTGGTGCTTGGCAACAGAAACAAACACAAGGAGAAGAAATGTTCATCTCCGAGGAGTCTCCTCCTCCATTCAGCAGTCAGAGAATGATCTGGCGGTACCTGTGGGGGGACAAGGTCCGCCCTCACACTCAAGGTGCGAACTCCAGAGAGCATGCTCATTTTAGCTCGCCAGTCTCCCAGAGCTAAACTAAGCGATACGGCCTATAACTGAAGGGGACACAGGTGCTGTGCTGCCTGTGTACCTGCCCCTGGCTTGTGCAACAGTGGAAATAACAGTACTTCTCAGTGTCACCTTTTTCAGATATCTAGAAAAGATAGGAAGCCTGGATTTCTGCCAAGTGACAAGTATTTAAAGTGAAATCTACGAGATATACCAATAGTTTCCTGAGTAAAAATTAAGTACATTTTTCAGAGGGTCCTGTATTTCTTTACTCCATGGTGACTTTGACAGGAAGCCACAATATCATCGTGCCGAAGATTGGACATCTCAGCCTCAGTGTGGACCAGGACCAGATCAGCCAATGGGGTAAGTGTGATGCTGAAAGACGTCAGAGGGAAACATCGCTTACAATACTCCTGTGTTTCCCAGGTTTTCCAGCTGGGAAAAAAGACCCCTGAGAAAGAAAACAGATGACTGAGCTGAGATTCAAGTCAGTAGCTCTGCTGAGCCCATCCGGAGGTTCCAGTAGTCAATAACAGAAAACACATTCATAATTTTGCATCATTTTCAGCAGTCACATGTAGATACACATGTATACACATGTAGGCTAAATAACATGTAACTGAAATACCGTGAAACTATATACTTGATAAAATTTGAATTAGAATGCTCCTGGGTTTTGCCCACAAATATGAATAGCAGGTCTAGTCATAACTGCTAAAAACTGGAAAGAATCCAGGTATGTTCTAGCTAGTGATAAGCAAAGTGTGGTAAATCCACGGAGTGGAATACTACACAGCAATACAAAGGGACAAACAGCACATCCCTGTCATCCAAGCACTTAGGAAAGCTGAGGTAGGAGGATTACAAGTTCAAGTCCCACCTGGGCAACTCCATAATGGATAATAGATATTGGCAAGTAGGAAGAAAATGTTCAAATGGGAAGGGGAACAAGGGAGGGGGAGAAAAAAGGAGGGCAGGGAAAAGAAGGGAATAGAAGGAAAAAATTGAAGCAATGCTTCTATAAATAAGGAGGGGGGCCGGGGATTTAGCTCAGTGGTTCGGTGGCCTGTCTTGCAAGCATAAGGACCCGAGTTTGATCCCCGGGACCAATAAATAAATAAATAAGGAGGGGAAGAAGGAGTGAGGGAGAGGAGAGGAATGGGAGAAAAAGAAGAATGAAGATAGATCACGTACAAGGGAACAAATTCCTAATGATGAGTGTGATCATTATGTATATCAAAAGTATACTGATACAATTAATTTTAAAAATTAAAAAATAAAATGCATTCTGATTTCAGAGATGTTAAAAGTGAAAAAAAAAACCACCCTAAAATAGAAAAGGTCGGGGCTATAGCTCAGCAGTAGAAGGCTCTAGGTTCAACCACCAGTACCACAACAAAACAAAACAGAACAGATGAACAAACTGGTAATGCACACACCTCAGAGGTGGATCTCCAAAGCTGAGGCCTTGTGAGAGGCTCTAGGCGTCTAAAGACTTCCCACGCCATAGATCTGTTTATAGGATTTTCCAGAAGAGACGAAACCGCAGTGACAGAAAGCAGCCATATTTGCCAGGGGCCAGGGGAGAGGTTTGGGATTGTCTTGAAGGTGATGTGAGACTTCAGCAGGAGAGGCTCAGATCTTGATTGCGGTGACATTACCAGAACTCACAGCTGGACACCAAGAAGGACGCGTGTCACTGCATCTACGTTATATTTCAATAAAAGTAAAAGAAAAAAAATGACTGGTGACTCTGGATGCAACAGAATCCCACGAAGAAGCACGGCTTCTTAGACGTAGCTTTCAAGAGCTGAGGCCCCTTCCGGAGGTGACCTCGCCGCTCAGCAGGGCTGCAGTGAGTCGCGCTGAGCCTCAGCACCCTGCACACAGCACTGGCTATGGAGACAGGGAGCCCCTGCTTCCACCTGAGCCTCCACCCGGCCCTGCTGGGAACGAAGGCCTCCAGGTCCTGGGGCTTCCAACTTCCCCGGGAAGTGACGCGCTCAGATGTTGCCCAGACTGTGGGCCTTTCTTCCCGGAGACTTCTTTTTCCATCCCACTGAAACGCACTGGTGGAAGAAACCCGTGTCCCCACCTACTCGAGCTTCTGAGGCCCTGGTTGGCCTCAGACCCGGCGGTGCCTTTGTTGTGCTGAAACTGTTGCCAGGGACCTGACTCGTTCTGGAACTCTCCTGGAATAAATCAGAGAAAGGCAGCAAGATCAGGTGCGGGAGAAGATGACTGTCCAGGCCTCAGAAGAAAAGCAAGGTAATCAGGCTTCAGAGCTAAGTAGCAGCTACCACATGGAGGTGGAGTGTTAGGTCACGTCACACCTCCCTTATATCCCCTCCCTACTAGAGTGCCATAGGCTTCCTCTTCTCTCCCAGTCCACAGAGAAGCAAAACCAGGGAAAACACCCCTGGCCTCAGCACATTTGAATGTGTATTTGCATTCTCAGTAGTGAGCAGAGCAGTCCAAATGGAGTAGTGAAAAAGAGGGGAAAAAGCAAAATATCTCATTAATTTTTGCATTGATTTTCATGTTGCAAAGATAGTCTTTGGGGCACGTTGAATTAAAGAAGTATTTGAAAAATTAATTTCCCTATTTCTTTTTGCACTGTTTAATGGGGCCACAGATAGATTTAAATTTCCTGTACAACCTGTATTACATTTCTAGTGATCACACAGCTCCATAACCCTAGCAAATACTGAAGTTAAGTTTCTTCTTCCATGCGTTGTTGTTGTAGGGATCGAAGCAAAGCAAGGTTAAGAACCAGGGATTGCATCTCGATTATAGGGAATTTCCCAGAATGGCTGGGAGACTTGAATAATTTATTGCACGGAGCACTCAGAAAATATTCAGTGATTGTCAGCATCCTATAGAGAAGCCCATATGGGTGGGGACAGATTACAGAGTCCAGTGATGGCCTGAGCCATTCCTCAGCAAAGGTATTATGCAGAGGTCTGTGAGCAGGGTCAGTGCTGTGCCCTGGAGGCAGAGGCCGGTGGTCATGCTGGGCTGTGTCAATGCCAGTGGCCTCGAGTGAAGGAAGAAAGTGCAATTTCCAGGAGGAAAAGGCAGGCCCTCCCCACCAGTGACATCGAAACACGCCAGATGGGATGCAGTGCCAAGTGGCTTAAATGGGCTAGAAAAGTAAAGAATGTGATATTTCTGATGCTTGAAGTTCTATATTACAAATCACGGTGGATTCACATAATTTTGCATATCCATGGGAAAATATTTTGGAATGATACATCTTCGAGCGGTTACCATTTGGTGTTTCTTGTGGTGGCGTAGAACTTAGGGAACCTTTTGATTTCTGTTGTGTTACTTTTTCCATAGGAATTAGGGACAAGGAAAATATGCCCTGTTTTAATAATAATAATAATAATAATTAAAAAACATTTGGGAAAGGTGACAAGCCCCAGGAAAAGCTAAGTTGTCAGAGATGCTTCAGGGATTTTGCAGATGTAGGGCAGAGCCTGTCATTCACCCACGGGTCCCAGGAGGGGTCCCCGGGAGCTGGCCTGTCTCGTGCCACATCTTCAGTGGCCCCCATCCAGGCATCACCACGGAGAGATGTTCTGGAATGGTCATCAACTGCCTGCGCTCCTCTCCCGGCACAAGGAGGTACGCTTGAGCCCGCACCGGCTGTCCCACAGCTGCTCAAGTCACTCAGGTGCCCACGGATGGGTTATCTGTCTCCCTATACTCCCCACAAGCGGATCAGAGCCCGACCTAACTCGAGGGACAGCAGTCTAATCGCGTCATTCAGAAACCCGTCAAGAGTGTTGGTCTGAGATATCCAACAGACACCAGGGAAAAGCTGAAAGCAGAAAAAGTAGAGGGACACAGGGAAGCCGAGAATGGTAGTGACAAGAACGTTAGTCCTGAGGGCTCAGCTGGGCTAAGTTCTAGGTTTTGCCCCAGATACTGTGATTTTGGAGTTCTATGAGAAACTGGGGGACATTGTAATCATTTCTTGTCTTTTATTCAAGTTAAGCCTGTTCGGTTTCAGCAGCTTATGATAAAAAGATCCTAAGGAATGTAGATAAAATGTCTATCTACACAGAGCTTGAAGGAGCAAGGAATTATCCTCACTTCAGAGGGTCTATACATTACTGCCAAGATTAGTCTCAGCTTCTTTGTCTGTAATTATAGGGTCAGAATAGCTCTCTTCCCTGCCACCTCACCGCAGCCTCCTTGGCTCCCCAGCCTGCCACACTTGGTGCTAACACCAGCCCACCTTGGGGCCTCTCTTACACAGAATAATTGCAATTGAACGTCTCAGCTTCTTTGTCTGTAATTATAGGGTCAGAACAGCTCTCTTCCCTGCCCACGTTATGAATGTAAGGACCAGACATGCTGGAGAACTTTAACAGCAGTATGACTGTGACTGCAATCTGACCCTTGCTGGAGGCCAGCCACCTCACCGCAGCCACACTTGGTGCTAACACCAGCCCACCTTGGGGCCTCTCTTACACAGAATAATTGCAATTGATTTTTCAGCCTTTAATAAAGATCATCTACACCATTACTATTAGGAAACAGAAGGGGGCACCCTAAGAGTATTTGACTAGTGGCAAATAGCTGCTCTAGACACACCTTTCTACACCTCCTACAGTGAATGCTTTCTCTCAAGCATAAGAAAGAAAATGCTTAATTTTATATCTTAAAGTATTCAGTGGAACCATATGACCAGTGCATAAGATCAAGAGCAACTAGGTAAAACTCGGAGAAAAAGGCAAAGCCGAAATAAAGTAGTGTCTGCCAAATTTAGTCTATCTCTCCGAAAAAATCTAATTTGATTTCTACAGTAGTGTAAATACAAAAGGGTAGTTAAAAATATTTTTACTGAATGACTGTGGAAAACAATTAGGAGAAGGAAATAACAAAATTAACCTCCAAGGAGCAATTTCCATAAGCCAAACACGTATATTATGAACATTACTTCATGTTACTGCAACCCTAGGACATGGGTACTCAAATTCCCCCAGAACTTCAGCAATAAAGCCAGCCACTCCATCCTGCTTATTTTAAGGTAGCACTTCTTTCCACTGATCCAAGCTGTCTTCTCAGTGAAGGCCTGGAGTAAACGAGTAGATCATCCAAGAAATCTTTACCGAATTAGGCAGATCTAAGAATGGGCCAGGAGAGACAAAGACAGAGAGGGCCAGGCATATGTTAGCCATTTGCTAGTTGACGAGACAGGACACCCGACACCCACGACCTGAAGGAGGAGAGGTTTGTTTGGTTCAAGGCTTCTGGATCCACTGGCCGAAGGGAGAAACGTCCTGGAGGACAACAGCTGCTCAACCTACCCAAGGCAGCGGGAAGCAGAGAGAGAGGAACCGAGCTGAGGACAAGAACCACCCTTCCAGGTTCAGCCTGCAGTGGCCACCTCTCCTACCTGGCCCCCCTGCTATGCACAGACAGTGCAGCACCCCTAATCCTGTGACTTCCTGAGAGCCCCACCTCTGAGGCTTTGGGGGCCAAACTGGGTGCCAGCCATCCCAAGGTGGAAGAGCAGAGTGTGCGGAAGGAGGAGGGGAGGAAGGGTGAGGAAACAGCAGAACAACAGGGAGAAAGAGGGGAAGGGGAGAGAACAGGAAGACAAAAGAGCTTCCCTGGGCCTCTGCAGAGACCTTCCTGGGTCTGAGAGCCGGCTCTTCTTTGTTCTCTCACTCAGAGCTCAAATGCACAGACTGGCCTCAGACAATGTCCCTGCGGGCTGCAAGGTCCACATCTAGAGCCGACTCTGGAAGGAAGCCAAGGCAGCTTAGTGAGGCACCATCAAAGGCAGGGTATTGACTTAGCCAGCTCTGAAACAGCCTTCTCTGAAAGGCTCTGCCCTCAACAGCTGTTCATTAGTTAATGAATATGCTGTATTGACTCTCAAGGTAGGCAGGAAAGCAACCTCAGGGCAAATCTGTCAGTGTAAGAGCCTGGAAGCTTCCCCTCCTCCTCTTCCTCTCCCCAGAGCCTGGGGCCCAAGGCTCTCTGGAGGGAGGTTCTATCTCCACACTCTGGGAAGTCCTGAAATAAAGATGAGGGACACACCTGCTCTTCCCTTTCTCCGAACTCTTTAGGATGGGGCAAACTGAGTCCCAAGTTTGGGTAACTGAGGTAATAAGATTTTTTTAAAGTTAATTCTTTTTTATAATGCATTTGGAGAAAGACGAACTTGCTTATGAAGCTCTCAATCACACAAATCCTGTACTAAGGAAGCATTTATATTTTTAAAGTAAAGTGGATTTATTTTTTCAATATTAGGAATCGAACCTAGGACCTTCACACTGAGCAACGTCCTCAACTTCCCTCCCCTTATTTTTTATTTGGAGACAATGTCTTGCTAAGCCAGTTTACCTGGCTGTGCTAGAACTCTCTCAGTCCCCCTAGGTGAGGCTCCCACAGCGCTGGGATTACAGTGTGTGCTGCCATCCTGGCTGTTTTTATTTTGTTTTGTTTTAGAAATTAGATTCCACAACATAATCCATGCTGACACAAACTCATGCGCCAGGTTCCCAAGAGCTGGGATTATAGGTGTGCTTCACCAAGTCCAACATTGAAATCAATAAAAACAAACAAACAAACAAACAAACAAGCAAACAAAGAAAAAACACCACAGGAGCAGTAGTATGCGGGTCTGTCGGGACCATGAGTACTGAGAACAGGGCAGGAGTGGCTGAACTTTGAGATGTAGAGCACAGCTCAGTGGAAGGCAGAAACAACTCTCAGTACGCTGTTGGGTGCATAGTACAGTAAACCGTGGGTTGAAAAGATGGTGGATAAATCAGAATGCACTGGAAAAATAGATCAGTGTGTTAAAAGACAAAATTGTACGAAATCTCATTTTACAGGTTTTAATTGGGCTTATTTGTGATTCTCAAATCAGGTGGCAGTCCAGACCAAACCTGGCTCAGTGGCCTCCTGCACCACTCAGGAAGGTGCTACTTTCGGCCCAGAGGAAGAATCGCAGGGCAAACAGAGGTGAGAGCACAGCTGGTTGGCACAGCTGTGCCAGTCAGCGGAGCACGGCTTGAACGGTCGGCTGCCTGTGATTTGCCAAGTCTCAGCTCCTTGGAGGAAGAGTAGGTGGTGGTCTGTTTAGGCCTCAAGTTGGTTGCAGTTCACTATGTGCAGAGAGATCTTGAGGCCAGTGGCCCAGCTTCTCGGTGCCTCATGCTCCTCGACACAGGTCCTGGCCTGGCCCGTTGCTGTGAGGGTCACAGTGAAGACCACCCAAACATTCAGCCCCAAATTCCACATGGACATCACTGATGGAGTTAAAATTGTTTGGTATAATAAAATAAAGAGATAATGCATGTCTTAAGTTTCACTTGTCAGTCTGAATATGTTAGGTTCAGGTCAGTATTATCAACTCTGTCATTTTTTTCCATTTTAACAATGACGTTATTTCAAGTTTAATCATGATGTTAGCGAATCATTCAATTGAATCATTTTCCCAAAATATAATATTGAATTTCATGAGTTTTAAAATGTAAATGTATTCCTCACTGATACATTAAAGTGTGCATATAGATAGGAAAACTTATAATGCTTCAATACAGGTATACATTGTGTAACGTTTAAACAATTAAACGTACCTATTCCGTCAAGCTTTTATCATTTCCTGCAGTGAAAACAGTCACGATTCCTTTTTCATTCTGAAGTACACATCATTGTTATATATAGCTCACCTAGTGCGCTACAGCACATCAGAATTTCTTGCTAATGTCTAACTATAATTTATTATCCACTGGTCAGCCTTTTCCCATCGCCCCTTCCCTCTACTCTCCCCAGCCTCCGATAACTGCCATGCTATTCTGAACTTGTCTTTAATCAACGTTTTCAGGTTCTATACATGGGTGAGGTCATTCTGTACCTGCTGCTCCTTGCCTGGCTACTTCACATGGCTCTTTCCACCCACATTGTGGCCAATGATAGTATTCCACTGTCTTCATGTCCCATAGGGTATAGGCACCATGCATTTTTCTTTCTATCAGTTGGTGAACACTTAGGTTGTTCTCCTGCCTCAGCTATTGCAAGTAGGGCTGCAATGAGCAAGGAGTGCAGATGTCTCTTTGGCACACTGAGGCCATTTCCTTTGGGTATGTGCTCAGGGTGGGATGGACAGATCATATGCTAGTTCTGCTCTTAATGCTTCTGAGGAAGCTCCAGACTACGAGCCATGATGGCTCTCCTGATTTACATTCTCACCGCTGCTGAGCAGAGTGCCTCTCTCTTCATCTCTTTACCAGCACTTGTTATCTTTAGTCTTTTTATATGGGCCATTCTAACTGGAGTGAGATGATATCTCATTGTGGTTTTCATTTATATTTTCCTTAAGATTAGTTATGTTAATCATTTTTTCATGTACCTTTGGCCATTTATGTTTCCTTCTGACAAATATTTATGAAAGTCTGTTGTCCACTTAAAATCAGATTTTTTGGGGTAGCACTGGTGATTGTTGTTAAATTTCATATTCTGAGACAGGGTCTCACTAAGTCACTAACTAGCCTGAGCTAGCCTTAAATTTGTGATCCTCCTGCTTCAAATTTTCAGGGTGCAGGGATTATGAGCCTCCACCACCACACTTGCCTCTGATTATTTGTTTTTTCATTATTTAGTGTTTGAGGTTTCTTGTGTATTTCAGATAACTCCTTATTTGATATGCTGTTTGCAAATACTTTCTCCATTCTCTAGGATGTCTCTTCACTCTGTTCCTTGTACCTTTTGCTGCGTAAAAGCTGTTGTTTGATGTAATATCATTTGTCTACTTGTTTGTTTGTTTGTTTTCCATGCTCTTTGGGTCTCATTCTTCAAAAACAAATTTGTGCATTCCAATGTCCTGAAGCATTTCCTCTATACTTTCTACTAGTTTCACAATTTTGTCTTATATTTAAATATTCAGTCCTTGTTTTTTTTCAGGTACCAGGGATTGAACTCAGGACCTTGTACTTGCAAGACAGGTGGTGGAACCACGGAGGTAAATCTCAGGCCCCCATTTTGAGTTGATTTGTGTAACTGGAAAGAGATAGGAGGCACAGTTTCAGTTTTCTGCATGTGAATAACCAATTATGCTAACACCTTTTATTGAAAAGGTTATCTTTTCTGCAATGGGTATTCTTAGGACCTTTGTCAGATTCAGCTAACTGTAGATACTTTGATTTACCTCTAGGCTTTCTATTCCGTTTCACTGCTCTATCGGTTTTTATGCAAACCATACTGTTTTGTTTACAACAACTTCGTACTGTTTTTGAAGTCTGGTGGTGTAATTCTTTTTGCTCATGATGGCTTTCACTCGTTGGGTTTTTGTTTTTGTTGTCATTATTGTTGTTGTCTCATATATACTTCAGGGTTTTTGTTTTGTTTTGTTTTGGTCTGTGAAGAATGTTATTGATATATTAATAAGAATTACATTTAATTGGTAGATTGCTTTGGGTATTAGGGACATTTAAAAATATTGATTCTTCAATCCATTAACATGAGATTTTTCCACTTTTTGTGTCCTATTTAATCCTTTTCTTTCTTTCTTTTTCTTGTGTGTGTGTGTGCTGGAGATCAAATTTAGGAACCTGTGCTTGCAAGGCAGGCAGTGGAACCACTGAGCTACATCCCCAGATTATTTAATTCTTTTCATGAATATTTTGTAATTGTAATTATAAAGTCTTTCATTTCTTTGGTTAAATTCATTCCTAGGGTTGTTTTTAGTTATTATAAGTGGATTGCTTTATTGATTTCTATTTTAAATAATTTACCTTGTCATATATAGCAATGCTACTGATTTTGGTATGTTGATTTTTTTGGCCTATAACTTTTCTGAAATTATTTATTGTCAGATTTTTATGGTGAAGACTTTGGGGTTTCCTATATATAAGATCATGTCACCCAAAACCCGACAATTTGGCTTCTATTTTCAAATGTGGATACCTGTTATGTCTTCCTCTTGCCTAATAGCTCTGGCCAGAACTTCCAGAACCCTGTTAAATGAGGGTGGTGAAAGTGGGTATTCTGGTCTTAAAGATCAGATGTTAAAGAGAAAGCTTTCACTTTTCCCCCATTCCATATGTTAGCTGTGTACGTATTATAAATGGCCTTTGAAACATTGAGTACTTTCCTTCTGTATGTAATTTTTTCAGTGCTTTTATCATGAAGGGATATTGAGTTTTATCAAATGCCTTTTCTGCATCCATGGAGGTGATTGTTTAGGTTTTATGCTTCATTCTGTTGACGGCATGTAACCCACTTGTTGATTTGCATATGTTCCACTAACCTTACCTTCCTGGGGTGAGTCCTAATTCATCATGGTGAATAATCTTTTAAATGTGCCGTTATTGAGTTTGGTTTACTAGTGTTTGTTGAAGACTTTTGCATCTATGCTCATCAAGGATATTGGTTCATAGTTTTCTTTTTTGTGTGAGTCGTGTCCTTATCTAGATTTTGATATAAGGGCAATGCTAATATCATCAGAGAATATTTTCCAAAGAATAGTTATCTTTCTAATTTTTGGAATAACTTTAAAAGTTGGTATTATTTATTCTTTAAGTATTTCTTCCAATGTAGTTGTAGGCCCCTTTGTCAAAGATTATATAGCTGAATGTGCATAGGGTTGGTTTTATATTTTCTATTCTATTCCATTGAAGCTCATATCTGTTTTTGTGCCAGTCTCATGGTGTTTTTATCACTGTAGCTTTGTAATATAACTTCAAGTCTCGAATTGTGATGCCTCCCACTTGGTTCTTTTTGTATCTTAGGCCATCCTTTTATTTTTAATTGGAGAGTCCTTGGCAATAGAACTAGTTTCCTGTAAGCAACATATGGCTGGGCAATGATTTTTGGTTGTTGTTTGTGTTTTGGTCCATTTGGACACTGTATCTTTTAATTGGAAAATTTAATATATTTATACTCAAAGAGATTAACAAAAGGTAAACAGATATTTTGTAATTCATTTGCTAGTTTTATTATAGTTTCTTTCTTTCTTTTCACTCTTTTAAACTCTGCCCTTGGAATTAAATGATTTTCTCTAGTAGTTTATTTCTTGTTTCTTATTTTAAATTATTATTAAACAATCACTATCTTCAGGAACCATTCAGTTGAATCATGTATCATAATATGTGATTTTGATTTTTAAATAACTGTCGAATGAACATTTTATTTTGACATATGCACTTTTTCTAAAATTGTTTTCGTAGGTGGTCCCAAAGTTGGCCACTGTGCCTTTGCATAGTGGGTACACACATTCCCTGTGGGTGTGGGTTGAACGTAGTAACTCAGAGCTGATGAATAGAGTACGGGGAAAGTGATGAGGTATCTCTTTCTTTCTGAGTTCTTGCTATGGGAAAATAAGTTGCCAAACCCTTCAGAGGTCCTAAAGAGGTCCACCTGTCAGGGAGCTGCGGCATCTGACTAAAATCTCATGAGGATGGTGGTTGCTCACAGCGCCTGACTACAGAAGTGGGTCCTTCTCCAGCCAGAGCTTGAGCTAATTACAAGTCGGCTGACAACATGATTCGTTTCATGAGAGACACTGAGTCAAAAGCCATGTTCACAGAAATTGTGAGATAATAAATGTTTGTTTTAAGTTGCTAAAGTTTGCAGTGAGTTGTTACATAGCAATAGATACTAAAAAAAAAAATTAAAGATTCTTAGAAAGTTTTTGAGAAGCACAGTTCTAAGCCAGCAAAGGTTCTTTCTCTACTGTTCATGCAATCTGTGGCAGTTATCTCACTTAACCTGTCTGATTCCCACCTCCTCATCTATAGGAGGGGATAAAAACCCACGCTCCACACAACTGTTTGTCTGTCTAATCTCTGCCGTGAAATCACTTCAAACTCCGTAAAGTGATCTATGAGCACAAAACCTAGCTCGGCCTTTGCCCCAGTTCATGAGGTGGAAAGGAAGGGCACTAGCGAAGTTGGAGGACTTCAATGCCATTTTAATAAATGGGGATTTAGCCCTGCGAAGACTACCTCTAAACCACGGTGCTCACCTGACTGTGGAGTCGAGTAAGAACTGGAGCGCACGTGTGTCTGCATCTCACTGACCTGTCATCCTCTCAGAGGGGTCTCCCCCCGCAGGGGGCCCCGGGAATCCGTTCACCACCCCCCACTACCGCTTGACTCTGTGCTGCCGTTAATAGTAATGAATTTTTATATTAACTCACTTATTTCCTTCTGCTTCTCTTGAGAAAGTTAAAATTACAAAGACAAGAACCACTCTGCCTTGTACATTGCTCGACTATCACCCGCATGCATTAGGAGCTGCAGGCACTTAACGGCGGCCTGACAGAGTAGCGC